TACTATTATTATTATGTTGGAATTTAAAAATTATTATGTTATAACTTAGAATTAATTATCATATAATGATAATAATAATAAAAATAAAAATAAAAATAAAAATAATAATAATAATAACTTCTACAAGATAATCAATTTCAATTTATAACATAATAATTTTTACAATTTAATATAATTTAAATGAAAATAATAAAAAAAACACGACCGCAAACGCCGGCCGGCCGACTGCGGGGCGGTCAGTATTCCCAGCCGGCCGTGCATTTTTTTTTCACTTTAACTTTTTAGAAAACTGTCATAGGTAAAATTGTCCAAAAAAGTACTGTAGGTAATAAAAAAGTACAGTTTTGCTATGGAACCATCGGATGGCTCGATTTATGGAGCCATCTATAGTTATTGTTATGTAATTGAGTTTTATTAATTAATGGGTCCCACTATTAATTATAATTTAATGAACAATTTGGCAAAGAAAGCTCAATAATGTGTGGAGATTCTTATTCCAATTGGGCAGATGACAACTTGCTTTTTGCTTTGTTAATTGAACTGCCAATTGGACTGCCAGACATTATCTACAAAATGGCAAGGCATTATATGCTGGCATGACACTATAAATTGGCACTCGGCCAGGCGAAGAAATATGCACCAATAAGAAGAGAAAAAAGAGAGGTTACAAAGAGAGAGATAAAGGAAAGAAAAGATAGATTTATGATCAAATATCGGATATAAAAATATCAAAAGAGAGAAACAAGTGATTTTTTATTTGTTGTAAGATATTCTTTTTATTTTTAAGTGCTCAATTCTTGACTCCGTTCCCGTTCGCCGGAGCTCGTAAATCTGGTGTGCTACAGATTTACAGACGTTTACCATTGTATCTTTGGGGAAGTTACGCCTGAACCGTTAGCTGCCACACGAGGCGTATTCTTCTTGCGGAAAGAGTTTTACTCGCCTCGGCTAAAATCTTTTTGTTTTTCAGTTGTAATTTATTTTTCAGTTCAATTGTAATTTTTCTATTTTAGATTATGTGTAAGAACTGAAAAATACATATCAGTTCGTAGGATTCCCGTGTAATTTTACACCAAATATCCAACAAACGCAAGAAGAATACTAGTCAACCTCTTGAACTGATGGCATCCACCGGAGCAGGTTCCAGCTCTCAGCAGCAAATCAACACCAATGTTCATCATCCCGTACCTGTTGTCCATGTCCCTACAGCTGAAAAGCCCGAAAAATTCAACGGGCTTGACTTTAAGAGATGGCAACAGAAGATGCATTTTTACCAGACCACTTTGGGTTTTTACCTGAAGGACGACCCTCCGGTCATTTCGGAGAATGAGACCAATGCAGAACTACGCGCTGCGTACGATGCTTGGAGGCAAGGTGACTACCTTTGTCGTAACTATGTCCTGAACGGGCTTAGTAACGAGTTGTACAATGTGTACAACTCTGTTGGTTCTGCCAAGGAACTTTTTTGCCTTGGAGAAGAAGTACAAAACGGAGGATGCCGGGGAGAAGAAATTCGTCGTCGGCAAATTTCTTAACTTCAAGATGGTTGACACGAAGACTGTCGTGTCATAAGTGCAAGAGTTCCAGCTGATCTTGCACGATATCCATTCTGAAGGGATGACTTTGAGCGAGTCATTCCAAGTAGCGGCTGTGATCGAGAA